GTGTCCCAAAAGGGTTTTGGGTAACCCAGAGAGCAAATCTGTATCAACCACCAGAGGGCGATGTTGCTTTGCAGACAATTTATAGGCCCCCCCCCCCCCCCGCTTCCCTCCTGAAGTCTTGAGGGATTCCCAGGGTTCTTAGCGTGGATAAAAATGAATTTGTGAATTTGAAGAAAGAAGATGGAGTCCTTCTTAGCTACTAAGTGGGAATGGGGATGTGGTGAGGTGCTCCAAGTCCATTGGTCAGACTTGGAGCCGTTGACCGGCATCTAATACTTGTGGCCAATACCTTGGGTTCACATTTCTGACTCCTTCTCACACACACACTTTCACCAGGTCAGGCCCAGCTAAGATCAATACAAGGCCTTTATCTGCTGGGGGATTAATGGCAGTGTCAAGGCATCATGTGAAATGCCACAAGCAAGGGCCAAGGAAAGCAGGGGGCAGGTTGGCCATGGCCGTCCTGACCACTCAGCCATTCTGTACTACATGAGTCTCCAGATTTGTTCTACCCTGTGGGAAGGTGGTCCGGGGCATGCATCAACCCCATCTCCTTTGTAAGGAGAAGATCCTGAGCTCAGACAAGGCTCTGATCTATGTGACCACTTTCAGTGGATCCATCACTGGGGAATTTGGACAGCAGTGCCCTTTAACCTGGGGCCACAGGCCTGACCAAACTGCACTTAGGAGCCACATATTTTCACTTCCACCTGACCTCCTTGCTCAGCTCTTCCATCCTTGTGGCAAGCACCTCAGCATCTTTTCACTCAGTGTCCATCCAGACACAGGAGGGACCCCTACAGATGGGCCAGTATCCTCTTTCAGATAGCCCAGACTAGTTAGCCCTCTCTGGGGCTTCAAATTGTGGTGAAAAGTGCCAGGCCTCCCGAGAGACTGCTCATCGGGGAGTCATCTTTGCCCAGAACCACAAGGTCCAGGGCCTTTAGGACAATCCACTGAGCCATTCTGTGATTTATTTGCCTGTGAAGACCCCACAGAATTCTTTTCCTGGCCCTCCTCTCAAAGACAATGGATCCTCAGCCAGTCCTACCCATGCCACCCTATGAAGTACTCAGCTCACCCCGGTTCCCTGCCAGTCCCCTCAGTTAACTGTTAAGTTTTCTCGGCACCTTTCATCATGCTCTAAATGCTGAAGGGTGCACTTGGCCTTGTTTCCACTGAGTGAGCCCCACTAGCAGTGACTTTTTCCCTATGGTTCACTGATGTATCACCGATACTCTTTTTTTTTTTTTTTTTGTAGTACTGGGGTTTGAACTCATGGCCTCATGCTTGCTAGGCAGGTGCTCTACCACTTGAGACACTCTGCCAGTCCTCTTTTGTGTTGGGTATTTTCCAGATAGGATCTTGTGAATGGGTGATCTCTGCCTCCTGAGTAGCTAGGATTACAGGCGTGAGCCACCGGCGCCTGGCTCACTGATGTTCTTAAGTGCCTAAGAGAAGCCTGGTACCTAGCAAGTGTTCCTGCAGTGTGCATTGAATGTGTGAAAAAGAGACAAGAAGATTGTGCAGGCCGGAACTAGAAGGACTTGTGTTTATTGTGAAGCTATAAAACGTTACCATAAAGTTTCTCCTTCCTTGTATGTCCCTTGCAAGAATCCTATTTGCATTTGTGATTTTATGTTCTGAAGGAAGAACCCAAAGTGTTGACACCTCAGGCTCCTCACAACCAAGGTAAAGGCTGAGGGTGGAGCTACTTATTGGACACAATGTGGATTTTAGTATCCAAAAGATTGGGGCTTAAATCCTAGCCCTATGTCAGTGTGTGTCTTCACCTATCTGACCTGACCCTAATCTGTACAGTTGGCATATAAGTGGCACATCCCAATGACTCTGGGCGCAGCAGCCACTCGATCCCTTCGAAAACCCATTCAGCATCTTCACTCTCAACCTTTAGCTTCCTTCAGACCCATCTAAATCCTTCAAATTCTTCTGTTTTTTATGAAGTCTACATAACATAAAATTAACCTGCTTACAGTGCAAAACAAGCAACATTTGGTGTAACCAAATATTGTGTCATGACCATCTTCACCAAGTCCCCCAAATCTTCTCATCGGCCCAAGAAGAAATTGCCACTTCTGTAACCAGAACTCCTCAGTTCCCTTCTCTCTCAAACCTGACCACCTCCAGCTCTCTGATAACTTCCTTTGGATATCTATGCTTTGCCTCAGGTCTCATGGCACAATTTGTTACTTATGTGGCATTCTCTAGTCTGAGGCTCCAGGCCCTAGATATGACTCAAAACGCCCCCGTCAGTGCACACAGAGGCGCACACTTGCCCAGCCTTGGACCTCTGTGCTGACTCCTTCAGGAACAGCTGTATCAGCCCAGCTGGCAGATGTGGATTTGGTCCAAGAGAAGGAGCTGAGAGGAATCGGTCAGAGTGGGAAGCTCCTCCCTCCCTCTGTGGCCTTTAGAGTGCTGACCACGCCTGTGGGCCTCAAAGTACAGGGGATCCTGCTGTCCCCTCTTCCTCCTGGAGGCTGACTGTCATGTTACCTACAGAAGGGGCTGTCCAGGATGAGTACTCATGTGCTGGTATTAGTCTTGGGATATAAGAAGCTCCTGAGTTTACTCTTATTTTTAACAGACATCCAGGCAATGTGGTACACTTCAAAGAAAGATGAAGTAGGCTGGAGGTATGGCTCAAGTGGTAGAGCAAGTGCTAGGCCCCAAGTTCAAACCCTATTACCAAAGGAAAAAAACCCCTGAATTCCAAGAATGGCCAAATACAAACAGAAAACAGGCCTTCCTTTCTACTCGCAATTTATCTTCCCCAAACGGTCATCACCCCCTCTCCTAGAAACTCCAGTTTCTGAACCCACAGAAGTATAGGTGGAGGAGATGGAGAGTGAGTGATCTAGACCAAGAGAACAGTGTGCTCAAGGCTTCACGCAGAACGGATTGAACACAGCAGTCTGTGTTTGGGGAGTGAGTGTTGTGACTGGAGCAGGGAGGCCATGCTGCGGTCCTGGGTCTGAATGTCTGGTACTAGAAGCCATGGCCCCTGAGGGAGATTCTACCAGGAAGGGGCTGGAATTTTCTTGGCTTTCCTGGGTGCCCAGATCTCCCCCATCACTTTACTATCACATTGTGTCTATCCTGGTTCTTCCTTGGCTTCTCTGCTCCTGAAACCTGGGCCCTAGTAGGGTCTGCCCATGGGTATCTGTTTTTTTTTTTTTTTGAGGTACTAGGGCTTGAACTCAGGGCTTTCACCTTAAGCCACTCCACCAGGCTTATTTTTGTGATGGGTTTTTCGAGATAAGGTCTTACGGAACTATTTGCCTGGTCCTGTTTTGAACCACGATCCTCCCTCCTGAGTAGCTAGGATTACAAGTGTGAGCCACCAGCACCCAGAATGCACATGGGTATCTGAATTAGTAAAACCACTTCACTACAATAGAATAAAACATCCAAAGCCAGAGAACACCTTGGTTTTGTCTCATGTCTGTCCCTGCCCTGTGTCCACTGGGAACTGCTGCTGGAAGCACTGGCTTGCTATGCTAGGAGAACTAGAGGCTGCACAGCAGAAGAGTGGCTGTATGACCTGCATCTCTTGGCATAGAGGCTGTCCTGAGTGGCCCCCTTTGTGTCTAATACTGGAACTAAAAGGAGGCAAAAGACACTAATTGGGGAGAATGCTGTGTGTCAGGAGGTAGGGGAGAGGTACATGGATGGTTGAGTTTTCATAGAGGCATGGAGAGGTCTGAAAGAGTTGGACAAGCATGTCTATTGGGTTGTGGTGGCCATTAGAGCAGGGGCAAGGAGAACAGCACACAAGGGACACAGGAAGACCTGAGGTCCTGGGCTACAAGTTACTTGCATTTGGAACCATCCCATAACCAGGCAAAGGGTCTCCATGGAGGTGAAATGGGCCTGTGACAAGACCAATTGAAGGACTGGTAGAGCATTGCCTTCGGTGGATCCTTCAATATGTCTGTGTGCCATAGGTTACTGGCTGAGGGGCTCCGGGACTCCATTAACCAGGGAGAGATGAGCCTCTTGGTTTGAGTACCCAGTGAGAGGCTTCAGATCCACACGGGCATCCCAGAGCTAGAGATGAAGTAGCTAGGAAAGAGGGACAGTTCTGCAAACATTGCACAGACTCACGTCCCAACTCACACTTGTATTGTAGGACCACAGCATGGCATGGTCACACCTGAGGCATGCTAGTCTCTGCAGTCCCTCAGCTTTTGGAGAAAGAGGCTGGATCTGGTCTGCATCCAGGGTGGCAACCTTGAAATCCATTAATACACATGCTCTCCCTGGACATGCAGAAATGTTCCATGCCTGTCAGCCCTCAGTCATCTGGACCACGTGATTGTCCAATTGCTGCCATGAGAGGTCAGGAAATTCAGGTCAGGCCATGAAAATCTCCTCCACTGCCTCAGTGGCCACTGTCCTCCCGCTCTGCACAGACCTGGTTCTAGAGCAAACAGAGCCATCACTGCTCCAAGTGTGCTAATGGGATCTCAATTCCCCCCCCCATCTTTCCCCTGTGATTGTACTGCTCCTCTACTGTAGATCCATCTGGATTTTTCACATGGGACATATGCAGAGGCCTAGAAAACCTTCTCCTCCTTTCTGCTCCTGTTTCAGTTGATCTGTGAAGGCCTTGTACCTAGCCTGGGCTGACCTGCTGAAACAGAGAGAAGCAGAGTGGCCCTGGCACTTTAGCCAACCCAGGATGTTCCTACAACTGTTGTGAGCCAAGCCTAGGAGGACCTTTCATTAACAAAATACATAACAATTACTACTTCAGAGTTTTTTATGTAACATTACCATAGTATTGGACATGTAACACAGATGTTTCAAAAAGACAGAATGGAGCAGAGCCCACAATGTCCATACTTTGCCATCAAGCAAATAAGAATCAGATGTGCACTGCAAATGAGATTTTACCATTGTACCACTGAAATATCAGGGTTTGTTATTATGGCAGTCAAATGCTAACTGATACACAGAGAAACAGAATCATAGTCTCACTTTCCAGAAGGGAGGTAGTACATGAAATGAACTGTGGGGAAAGCCACTAACCTTGCTATTGGACCTATCAATGATTCACCTGTCTTCTGGAAGCCCATATGCTGGTAGAGGGCAATTGCCCCATGTTGTAATGCGCTTGTATCAAGGACAACTTCACTGTAGCGCTGGTCTTGGGCAAGCTGGAGGACAGTCCTGACCAGAGCTTTTGCTATCCCCTCTCCTCTGTGCTTCAAGGCCACAGATAGGTGAAAGAGCTGCACCTGCTTTCTCCCCAGTGGGGGATCCCTGACAGGTAGAGCACCCACTATACCCACCACTTGCCCCCCATGCTCAGCAACCCAGAAGCAGGAGCCACATCCACTCAGGTAGGACTTGGTGATGTCAGCCATGTCTGTTCCCAAACAAGTGACCACATACTGTCTCCATGGGTATCTAGCTAGGAGCCACAGGAAAAGTAGCAAGGCGAAGCTGCACACAATGGCCAGGACCCAGGAGTTATAGACCAGGAGTAGAGAGAGAGGCACCCCAAGTAAGAGCAGGAGCGAGTGGGGCAGCATCAGCATGTGGTAGAAGGTGGCAGGGATGTATTCCTCCATCCCCCTGGAGAACAAGTCCAGGACCTGTTTGTGATCACTCTCCTGGTATTTTCAGATGTGATAAGGAGACATGGGGAGACTTCTTTGTCTGTGATCTCAACGTCTATGAGCCAAGGCCAGACATGCCTGCACACCTTCTCTGTGGCCCTGTAGAAGAGAGAGGAAGTCATATGAGTTTCCCACAGAGCAGCTGGCCTCCCAGAAACCATGAGATCCTGCTCAAGGGTGTGTCTTTCTGCTATCACACAAAAGGAAGCCCGAAACCACCCAAAGAGAAGATGTAGAGCCAGAAATACCTGTTTGGAACCCTGATTCCTTCCCTTTCAGGCTGAGTGAATTTGGACATGTCACTTACACTCTATGCAACCCTGTGCCCTCATCTGCAGAGTAGGGTAAAATGACATCTTCCTTATAGGTTTGTTTTCAGGATTTAATACGGCTACTTTTTTATTATAATTTTTTATTAGGATATATTCATTATGTGGGGGGAATTGCAGTGACAACTCTGATCTTATATTGCACATTATTTATATTGCTCCCATCATCTCTCCCCTTCAGCCCCTTCCCGACCCCACTTAAAGCAATTGCAAGAGGTTTTTAAAATTCTGTTTCATATAGGTATGCAAAGTCCATCAACCATATATCATCACCTTAATTTCCTTCCTTCACCCTCCTCCCTACCACTAATACCCACCCCCTGCATACACTGTGCCTATTTTATAGTCCTTGTTTTCATTATTGATATTTGAGTTGTTGTTCAAAGGGGTGTCTCATTGCATGCCCACTGTGGATGAGCTTTACTTTGATTTGTTCAATCCCTTTGAATGCTCTCCCTTATCCCTTTACCTCCCACCTCTCGTTTTTCAACAGCTTTCAGTACACATCCTTATATCCTCTGCCTTCACATCTTATGGTATGCAGTATTACTGATGCTCTGTCATTCTCTTTTCCTTTCTCTCTTTCCCCAAGTTCCACTGTTACACACATGTTCTACAACTGAGTTTGTATATCATCATGCTTCTTTTTGTAAATATATTTATCCGTGGATCTGTCGTCCACGTATGAGAGAAAACATGCGTCTTTTGTGTTTCTGATCCTGGCTAACTTCACTTAACATGATGTCTTCCAGTTCATCCATTTACCATCAAACCCCATGTCATTATTCCTTGTGGCTGAGTAATAGTCCATTGTGTATCTATACCACAATTTCATGATCCATTCATCAGTTGTAGGGCATCTGGGTTGTTTCCAAAGCTTGGTTATTGTGAATAGTGCTGCAATGAACACTGGTGTACAGGTGTCCTTATGGTATCCTGCCTTATATTCCTTTGGGAAGATGCCCAGGTGCATCACTGGATCATACAGCAGCTCTATCTTTACGTTTTTTGAAGAAATCTCCGTATTGCTTTCCATAGTGGCTGTACTAATTTGCATTCCACCAACAGAGTAATATGGCCACTATATGAACCACTGATAGATACAGTTCCTTCCCTTCCAGCCTCCTTTCCGCCTTATTACAAGCACTCTAAAGCTCTTCGCACATTGAGATGGCACTGGCAAAAGGGCCTCCTGTGTCCCAGCCCTGTTTCCTCTTTAGGAACCATACATTGCAGAATCCTGCATTCTCAAATAGAAGTGTCAGCAAAGCCTCATTTGCCTCATAACAAAGATTTAGGCTGCTGAGAGGGCAAAGCCCCATATCGTACCATCCTTAAATAACCAGAAGCTGTGGGATTCTAGGCCTATCTTGACACCCTGACCACTCACCTGAAAACACAGAGTTTAGGGTGACCAGGATGACCTCAGCCTCTGAGTGGCGTTCAGGAGACACTGTCTAAGGACTGAACCATCTCTGTGGATCAGTCCTGTGTTGACATCTCATTGGCTGGCTCCTGGGTAATCATAAAACCCAAGGTGAAGAGCTGGTAAGTAACAGAGCAGGAACCCCAATTTCCATTACCTGGTAATTCCCAGGGGATTATCCTGTAAATGTGCAGGCTCTGGGACAGCCCAGGGTGCTCACTTTTGTGGGATGCCTGCCACCCTCTTCCTGTTCCCATTCAGACATCAGCATCTTTCATCTGGCACACTCAGTCTGGTCTGAGGGTCATGATGGTCCCCTGTATATACTTGCTAGAAGCCTTGGGACTGTGCTTCACCCTGGGCTCTGTCAACATGGGCAACAGTCCAGGTCCGCTGACTCATCAACAAAGTCCCGCACAGCTGGGTTTCTCCCTGCCCAACTGTACTTTGCCCTAGGTAACAGATCCTGGAGGTTCCCCACACTGCCCTCTCTGCCTCTCCTCCTCTCCATCAGGCCCTCACTCAGCAATGGGGTTGACCCTCTGCCTAGCTGCAGGTGTCCATTTGAGCCTCAGACATCCAGCTGAGAAGCCCAGAACAGTGGGTAGAACCTGAACCATCACACTGGTCACATGTGTTAGCTGAGCAGCACTGGGCTAAGACAGGCAAAGCCCCAAAAGAGAACAATTCTTTCTCCTTGAACTCTCCTCCGTGGGAGGGATGCTTCCCTGCCCTACAGCACCTCAGTCTCTGCCCTCGAGCTGTAACCTGGCACAGTCCAGGCTTTCTGTTCTTATGGCTCCTGATGCATGAGGATAAGGAATCCAGCATTTGCTTATAGCCTTAAGCTCATGATTACCAGAAGTTGTGGGATTCCAGGCCAGGGACCCAGTGGGCACTGAGGGTGATGAAGAGAAGTGGACGATGTGAGTTTTACACGGAAGGAGCTCCTCAGGTGTTTTTACGGCCTGGGAGATAAGTAAATGTCCACTCAGCTGGGACAAGGGTCAGGACAAAGCACATTCAAGAGCTGATAGGAGAAGGTAATAGTTTCCAAGGAGAACATTTGGCCCAGTCCCAGGAAACTTTGACTTCTACAAGAAATGAGGGGAGCTTCTCAGGCTGAGGGAAGGGAGGCATGGAAAACATTCACGCTGGGGGATAGCACAGCTTTCAGGTAAAGTTGGCCAACACACAGTAAGGGAGTGGCTGAGGCCCAGAGTGGCCATACTGCTACTGTTTGGTAGTGTAGATTATAATCCAGGCACACTAGAGGCCATAAATATGCTTTTAGCTGGGAAGCTATATACTGAGGTATTATTTTGTGTGTGTGTGTGTATGTGTGTGTGTGTGTGAGTGTGTGTGTGTGTGTGTGTGAGTGTTAACATGAACCATGAATCTGAGGTGGCAGGAATAGAAGATACTCCAAGAAGCATTTGAATGATCCACACAAAATAAGGTCCCCAGATATAGATATGCAGGTTGCACTCTGCACATGAGCACTATTTCAACAAAGCTTGCTGGGAACTAACATCCAGTCTATGCTGATTCCCAGGACAGGATCTTTAGCATGTAGCTGAGTCTGGCAGAAGAAAAAGTACTTTTGTAATTTTCTCAAAGGTCTTGTTTGCCTACTATCCTCAGTGCACACATGGTCTCATTGCTGGAAGAGGGACCCTGTTGAATGTTGACAGCATTAGCAATGTGCTTCCAGGAACACCTGCCCTGTCCACTATGTGACTGTCAAGAAAGTGAAATCTGAGCCATCTGGAGGTGCTTTCTGCAACAGAAATAGAAGAAGATAAGTGACTCAATGAGGATGAGCACAAGCAAGGGGTCAAAGGAATCAGCCAAGACTGTAGCAAGAGCACATAGATTGCAGGGGGCAGAGAAGGGCTATGGGCCATTTTAGAAAGGTGAGGCCTTGTCTTAGGTGCTTCCTGCAGCTTCATCACAGCAAACTGGAAGGAAAGAGCAGCATCTGGAACCCAGGGGCCTGTGGAAGCTGCTGGGATTTGGGATTAACTTCTAGCCAGAGCTATAGTTTTACCTTTAACATAATTTTGGTTAGTGCATGGGTTATACTGTCCCAAATATATTTTAATATTGTCTCTACCACTTGAATGTTAAAAGTTTAAGTTGACCTAGGAATGTTGATTGTGGAACTTGAATACTGAATGATAAGCCGAAAGTGAACTAGGAATGGAGGGCAGGGAGAAAGGGCTCCAAATGCAGGTGAGTGCCCTAATGAGAGTCTGCGTAACATTAACCAGACAGAAATCCAAGTCAGGGTGAAGGGTGAGAGGCTTGTGCATTGTCCCTGCCCTCTGTTTCCCCTTGTGCTTGGTGGTTACTGTGCTTTCTGCAAACTCTGTCACAAGGTGACCCAATGGTGATGTGGTTCTCCTAACTTTTCTTCTACTCTGTGCAGGTGCACCTTATTTCCACCACTGTCCTCATTGGATGTAGGATGCTTTCCATCCATGATTGAAGCTGAGGTTCTCTGTTCCTACCTGCTGAACCTGTACATATTTTTATCTGGGAGAAAGATAGGACCCAGAGTGCAAATATTCTGAGTTCCCACCTCCCACCACTTTGGTTGAGCTTATTTTGGGACAGGCAGAAGGAAGAGGTAGATTGTTGCAATGATGGGTGATGGGAAGAAATTAGGAGGAAACTGGAGAACACATTTAATTTTAAGTCCCCTGAACTCTGAGTGAATTTCTCATTGATTTCTAAAATAAGTGTCTATTACTACTGTTAGATATCAAATGAACTTTTTTTTCAAATTAATGTGAGCCAAATCGGACCTTTACCTCCACAAAGTTACCCTGACTTCCTGGGAGGCCACAACTGTTCTGAAAGGGCATGGAACCAGTGCCTGAGTGATACCTGTCCCTTATTCCAGATCCAACCACACACCCAATCCATGGGCCCTGACATTCTTTTCTTAGAGCCCTTTCTTTTATTTTTTCTTTTTTATTGTTTTATTATTCATATGTGCATACAATGCTTGGGTCATTTCTGCCCCCTGCCCCACCCCCTCCCTTACCACCCACTCCGTCTCCTCCCTTCCCCCCCAACCCCTCAATATCCAGCAGAAACTATTTTGCCCTTATCTCTAATTTTGTTGAAGAGAGAGTATAAGCAATAATAGGAAGGAACAAGGTTTTTGCTAGTTGAGATAAGGATAGCTATACAGGGAGTTGACTTGCATTGATTTCCTGTGCATGTGTGTTACCTTCTAGGTTATTTCTTTTTGATCTAAT